GAGATCTGGGTAGCATCCATCTCCATTCATTGAGCGTGTATATGTGTGTGTGTGTGTGTGTGTGTGTGTGTGTGTGTGTGTGTGTGTGTTATATGTCTTATGTCTCAGGGAACAGTACATTTGACCTTACTTACAGTCAAGACTACTTATATTACATCTACTTTAACCAACAGTGTTCATTTGAAGGTGTATATTCTGGTATGTGAGATTTTAGGTTTCTTACTTTCTAATTCTTATTTGTTGGTGACCAGTTTGCAAAGTTGGCTAGCGTACTGAGGTAACAAGATTATGGGTCCAGTACTTATGTGTATGAGTGTTCCTACCACTCTTTGCCATTCTGACTGAGCTCACACTGGGCTCCTTAGTATTTCTCACACACTTCATGTAAGACTTCAGGGCTTTCTATAAATTCTATTTTGTCTTCCTGGAAGGTTCTTCCCCTAGATATTCACAATGGCTTCACTTCATTATAATCTTGGTTCAAATGTTACCTCCTCCAAGAGGGCTTCTCTGACCACCCTTACCTATTGTTACCTTCATAGCACTTATAACTACCCAATGTTATCTAGTTTATTTGCTGTTTTTTGTTTTTTGGTTTGTTTCCATAACAGTTATATTCTATCTTATATTTTATGTCATGTATTTTTTCTTTGCCTGTCTTAACCCACTACCCTCTCATATAAGTTCTGGGAAGGTAGAGATTTTCTTATGTTGTTTGCTGTTGTAAACTCAGAAACAAACAAACAAACAAAAAAAACAGTGCCTGGTATAGAGTAGGCACTCAAAAAAAGTATTTGTTGAATCAACGTGTGAATATGACTTAATATTGCCCTGTTTTTTCATTACTAATTTTACCCTTATTCTAGCCAATTGGCTCATAATGTCTATTCTTGGGTTTGGGGGACTCACCTAAACAGTGTGGCTCTAAACACATGGCATAAATCTGGATGGGAATCCGCTAGAAACTGAGGAAGCTGTCTTTATACTGTATCTAAAGCTGACATTCAGCCAGTGTGTACTGGTTAGACTGTATTAGTTGTTTATATCTGATAGCCATTTTGGTTGGCCAGTACCTATGTTTGGACGAAATAAAAGATCAGTAGCCTTGCCATGATACTTGTCTGTGGTCTGTAGCAAATAATTAACTTTCATCATATATTCACACAAATATATATTACAAACAGCTTGTTCCCTGGGAAAGATATAGCAAGTTCGAAAAATTACCAAGCTTCACTGCTCTCAAAGAGTGTTCTACTAAATGTGCCCATACCTCTTTATGTGTCTTGATTGAATGGAAGCAGTCCATTTCATTTGAGGGTGAAAACTTAATCCTTGCCTTATATATTTTGAAGTGAATCTCACCACATGCATTTTCTCACATTTTCAAGTGTCCCAGGAAACTGGCTCAACTTAAAGCATATAAAATAACCCCCTTAGTCTTCTAAATGAAAACTACTATGCCTTTTGTTATATGCGGTCCATCTAATTTCACAAAAGTAATTGAACTAAGGGAATGAAACACATTTTCAATATAGCTCCTATTATCCATCATATTCAAATTATTTGGGAGGCAGAGTAGACCAAATTTTCTGTAAAACCGAAAAATACCTCTAATTGGAACAGGTGTGTTAAACCAAACTTAGAGTCCATTGGCAAGGAAATCTCAAGGATATCACTAATATAGCTTTATTAATGTGCCATACCATACCTTACTCAGAACCACTATCCTTTGAGTTAAAATTATTTCCAATAATTGCAAGAGAAATTCATCAGGCAGCACTGGCCTTAATCCAAAGAAAAGGGTAGAAACCAATTAAATGCTTAAAAGTTTTAAGGATAAATTAGGAAGTAGGTGTTAGAAATCTCTTTAGCTCCAACTAAAAGTGGATGAATGATTTTTAAATAGGCTATCCTTCTCTGTTCTCAGTCACTAACTCAAATACTATACATGAGCGTTACACATACTAATTAGCCCCTTTCAGTTTACCTAGGAACACAAAGAGAAATATAAAATGGCTTATGAGCAGAATCACTTTTTTTTTTTTTTTTTTTTTTTTTGCCTTTTGGTAGGATTTGGTTGATGTTGAAAAATGCAATGAGAAAACAAACAAGACGTTTCTCCAGCTTTTTGCCCTAGGCACTGTTTTCTCCTAACATTCTCTCCCTTCAGTGACTTCATTCACTCTCACAACTTCAACTGTTGTCTCTGTGCATATATGACTTTTCAGTCTTTTTCTAGCTCTAATATCCTCCAGAACTTCAAACCTCCTATCGTTAGCGTTCACTATCTGGAGGGCCCATCATTCCCAGAAACTCAACAGCCCCAAAGACTGAATTCATTGCATTCCTTGCATCTTCTCATCCGGTGTCAAGCCACATATTCAAATAGTCATCAATCAACAAAACAGAAATCCAGCACCAACTATTTGTAGCAAGTGGTAGGCTAATAAAGAATTCTCTAACTCTATTAATGGTTCCACCGTTGTTTCAGTTAACCATTTTGGATTCTTCCCTCCTTTCCCTCACTTTTTTCTATGCTCTCCCTCAGCACACCTATACACATGTATGAATGTGTATACAAACACACACGTACACACACACACACAAAGAGAGAGCAAGAGAGAGAGAGAGAGAGAGAGAGAGAGAGAGAGGAGAGAGGACCTGTTGCCAAATCCTGAAATGCAATTTATGCAATTTCTCCTTAAGAAATCTTCTTTGCATTCCCACTGCAAATAATTGAGACACTCCTGTGACACTACTCTAATTGGAGCACTAATTACTTATTTCCTAGATGATTGCAATGCCATCCCAATTGACTTATTTGCCAAATCTTTAGGTCTCCAATTCATTCTCCATACTACTACTGGATTTATCTTTCTGCAAAGGATGTTTTTTATTATATCAGTTATTTGCCTAAAAACCTTCAGTGCTCCCCACTATCAAATTAATCCTCCAAAAATTCTGATCATATCACTCATCCTCTCAAAAAATAGAAATGTCTTTCTGTTGCCTAATAAGTTGAATCTAAATGTATAAGTGTGGCACTCAATGCCCTCTACAATATGGCTCCAATCTTCCTTTCTGGCCTCAACTTCCACTAGCACCAGCACATAGCTAAGCTCCAGTGAACCCCAGCAACTTCTTTTGCCTCAGATACATCATGTACTTTACAAAGTCATACTTTATTCAGCCCTGTCCCTTCTCCCCACCAATTGTTGTCACCTGTCAAAGTCCTACACATGCTTCAAGGTCTGTATCTACTCCCACTTCCTTCAAAAATTATTCTTGATCATCCCAACCTATTTTAATCTACTGTTCCTTTAAACCATTTCTTTTAAAGCAAAAGCTTCCGTTTTCCCAGGTGGCAAATGTTACACATGTACATTGTAAAAAATATGGAAAACACAGAAATCATAAAGAAAAAAATAAAAATTCTCTGTAAGTTTCCCATGCTGTTAACATGTTGCTATATATTCTTCCAAACTTTTTTTTCTCCGGACATGAACATGTGCACACATACACAAACACACACACTCCAAATCACACTATTTATAATGTTTAATAGCCTAATATTTTTCATTTGATACCTTATGGATATTTCCCATACCATTGCATGGTCTTCTGCAACATGATTTTTAGCAGCCACATACTCTTGTATTATTTACTATCTCATTGGTTATTTGATTAATCTCTTGATGAATATTTAGATTGATTATAACTTTCTAATATTATTTTCAGATGTTACAATAGACAGCATTGTACTTTGGCAACGTTCATAGTTAATTCACAGAAATTAAATTGTTAGCTCTGTCATGCGCGTCCGTGTGAAGAGACCACCAAACGGGCTTTGTGTGAGCAATAAAGCTTTTTAATCACCTGGGTGCAGGCGGGCTGAGTCCGAAAAGAGAGTCAGCAAAGGGAGATAAGGGTGGGGCCGTTTTATAGGATTTGGGTAGGTAAAGGAAAATTACAGTCAAAAGGGGGTTGTTCTCTGGCGGGCAGGAGTGGGGGTCACAAGGTGCTCAGTGGGGGAGCTTTTTGAGCCAGGATGAGTCAGGAAAAGGACGTGCACAAGGTAATGTCATCACTTAAGGCAAGGACCGGCAATTTTCACTTCTTTTGTGATGGAATGTCATCAGTTAAGGCAGGGCAGGGCATTTTCACTTCTTTTGTGATTCTTCAGTTACTTCAGGCCATCTGGGCGTATACGTGCAAGTCACAGGGGATGCGGTGGCTTGGCTTGGGCTCAGAGGCCTGACAAGATCAAAGGGTAAATCAGATTTTCAGTTCATTTGATAAATGGTGCCACATTGCCCTCCAAAAAAGGTCACTGTATTTTTATACCCTCCTTAGGAGTGTATGAGAGTGCCCATCTTCCTGCACAGTGACCAACACTGGGTACTTTTTAATCTTCTGATAGCAGTTTAAACCTGTCTTATATCAATCATTCTGCATAATATTATTTTATCCTGGTATTACTACCAAATCCCACCCTAATAAGCATCTACATTTTAACAGCTGCAGCAACTATCATAGGGCTTTATGCATACTAGGCATTCAGGAAATATTTGCTGAAATGAATTGAATTAAAACCATAGAGAAGGTCTTCCATGTTTTCATGATAGTCTGTCCACCATTACTCTGTAACAGTTTCCATACGGAAACTAGTGTTACATGACTAAGGGAAATGGAAAACGAAAGGGTCACAGCAGTGAGAAGCTAAGTCTAATTGTACTACAGTTGATTCCAATTTCTAATCCTATAATTGGGATAGCTTTAGCCTCAAAATGTTAACAACAGCTACTATAACAACTGGTAATACTTATGTGTGTCATAGCATGCAAGTAGCTACATGTATGATGTATAGGTATAAACTCCCAGTTGCTTGGCCTAACTAAAAGAAAACTGTTCGTAACATTTTTAGGTGCAAAGGGATACCTGGCTTGGAGATCTTCTCAGTGAGTCTGGAATAAATTAATGTATGGCTTGTTCTCTTGCAGCAGTACATTTGTTCGGCCTGACTTGGCAGTTGCAACCAGTTGAAGGAGAGCTGTATGCAAATGGAGTTAGCAAAGGGAACAGGGGGACCGAGTCCATGGACACTACTTACTCTCCAATTGGAGGAAAAGTTTCTGATAAATCAGAGAAAAAAGGTACAGTGATGAAAATGATTGAATGATTGTTGATTACTTTTCTTCTAATTTGGTCATTAGGACCGTAGCTGGGATGGTTTCACTTCACATTAAATTTTATGATCACTTGAAAGAAGTCCTCTACGTGGACAGAATGAATGCGTGTAAATATCTTGTGAAAGCAAAATTTCCCTGTCTCTAGTGCCTTGAGTATAAACCAATTAAACTTTTCAAATATGTTGGCAATTTTGAAAATAGATAAATATTTACAGAATGGAGACTTCAATACAATGGAAATTGCATTTCGCATATAACTACCCTGAAGCAACGTGGGATTTTGATTAAGTTCTCTGTGTCCAAGCCCAGCATTTATATATAACATTTTACAAAGGGTATATGGAAATTTCTTCTATTTGTAATATGAAAAAGCTTTTTCTGCTTAATGTAAAGGTGAATGCTTATGTCAAAGTTGGATAACATGATTTTTTTCTAGTTCGGGGACATGAATTCTTCCTAGTTGGGAGAAAGGAAAAAAATCACTTTGAGTCCTGAACTTTTAAGTTTAACCAATGTGAGCTTGAACTACCTGACTTATTTATAATAAATGTCACAGTACCAGCACTCCCAACATCTTATTCACATTGAATGATCTTAGTCTTAATATACAAGCAGTGAAAATAGCTGGAAGTTTATATGTTTATTGAAATAGGATTCAGTACAGAGGGACTTGAGCCATGTAAAATTCCAGGAAGTCAATTTAAATAGTAGAAATTGAGAATAATATGTATAGTCAGCAATATCCTGGGTAATATTTGGAGATCAAAAATAAATAAATGAATGAATGACCAAAACCTTACCTCCAAGAAACTTACAATTTTATGTAGGTGGTAACACAGTCTTATTTTGGTTCATTAGTTGCAACTAAGACATCATTTTTTAATGCAGTAGTTATTTGGGTTACTACTCTTCCCTTGTGTTTTTAATTCCTTTGGTGGTGGGGGGTTTGTTTGTGGGTTTTGTTTCGTTTTGTTTTTGTTTGCTTTTGAAAAGGTAACATTAATCCATGCTTCAGTAAAAATTAATGCTTAGGGTTCAGGAAAATATTATGGTTTGCTCTAGTTTTCAATTCATGATGTAGTTTGCTGTATGTTCTCATTTCAAAATACTTGTTTCTAGCCTGGAGTGACCTTTCCCAGCAGTTTCACTGTTACTGCTGAGAGTGGCTGAGGACAGTAGAGGGGTCAGAGGTGGCAGAGAAAAAAGTCTGCCATGCTTACTGCTCAGATTTTTCTTCCTTATCTCCCTTACCTGCTTTTTCTCCCTTACCTTCTCTTCTGCTATTTTATCCCCTTACATCTGAAGGTACAAGAGCTATCATTTGGTGTTATCTACCTAGGGTTTCTTACCATTCACACTAAAAATCAGAATTTATCTGTCTGAGGAAAACAAAACATGCAAGACAGCAGGTCATCACATAGTTGTCATTATATTATATTTGATTTTATATTCTAATTCAGACCTCTTTTGATTCCTTTCCATAAAGTAAGTTGATGATGATGGTTAAAATTAATTTAAAATTACCACGTGTCAAGAATTGTTCCAGATACTTTACATGGATTATATCATGAAGGTCACATTATGGTCCCCGTTGTCCAAATGAGAAACAGAGGCACAGAGAGGTTAAGTAACTTGCCCAGTGTCACAGAGCTAGTAAGTGGCGGTCTGATTCCAGAGTCTAATCTCTTAACTTCTACACTGTACTAAAATCCTTATATGGAACATCTGTGAAGACCACAAAAAACTTTTTACACAATGAAAGCAAAGCCCCAGAGTCCATTCATGATCGATTTTAGAGAAATTCTACTCACCTATATTTTTAATGTGTTGTGACAAGTTTCATAAATGAAAAATGCTTTAAGTTTCTGCTCAATTATAACAACGAACAGAGCAAACCGACTTCAATTAAATACTTTATTAAGAAAAATCATTATGGGTTGATGCCTCATACACCAAGTTGTTAGCTTAACCTGACTTTTTATGGAATCCTGAACAAAACCTTAACTATATCTGCACATCATGGTTTTGCTATATTAGGTCTTTACTGCATATTACTTACCAAATAAAAACATAGTTCCTTTTTTTAATGCCATATGTATACTAATCCAAACCTTTTAGAAGATGTAATACAGTAGAAGGATATTTTCAAATGTTCAGTTGTATCCTTTCATGATTTTCTACATAAGACACATCCCATAAATATAGCTGTAGAAGCGTATCTTCATACTGTATGCACTAAATATGAAACTGACAACCAGACCATTCTTTTTAAATTTTTTTCTCTACTCTCTTAGAAGATTGGGCATTATAGCACTGTGGTTGAAAGCCTGGATTCTGGAGTCAGAGAGACCTGGCTTTAAATACTAACTGTGCCATCATTATCTCTCCAACCTCAAATAATTGACACAACCTCGCCCAGTCAGTGCCCTCATCTGTAACATAAGGGTGATAATAATAGTACCTGTCTCATATGGCCATAGTAAGGAGTTAATTAAACAATTGATATAAAGCATATAGCACAGTCCCTGACACATTGCTTAATTTAGCAGCAGTTACTATTGGACCAAAAGATTGGAAAATTGCCTTGAGGTTTTTGAACTTCATTGACATTCTGTTAGGTGCTATAGAACCTGCTTTCAAACCCGTATGAACTTTGCAGTGAATGATGACCTTCTAGAGATTGAAATATTTTCTCTCTTTAAAGTTTGGTCTCTACTTACCAATATAAAATCTATTATTTTAAAACTATTATCACTATCATCATCAGATAATGATGAATGACACTTTTTAAAGAAACATCAAATTCTACTGGAATTGGTTTCCCATTAACAGTTGTTTTATATATATATATACACACACACACACACATACACACACACACATTATATATACATACACATATATATGTGTGTATGTGTATATATATATAAAACAAGAGTATTTGATTATAGATGTTTAGTATGCTAACACTCTAGAATTTCAATAAGTAGATATAAATCACAACCACATGTATAATCTACCAGAAAAATCTTAGTTGTCATTATTAAATAAATATTTATAAAATTGAAAGTATTGTACCAAAATAGTCCCGCACTACATTAGAGGCTTACAAACTAGTCATAACTTTTTTTTTTTTTTTTTTTTTTGAGATGGAGTCTCGCTCTGTCGCCCAGGTTAGAGTGCAATGGCACAATCTCGGCTCACTGCAACCTCCGCCTCCCAGGTTCAAGCGATTCTCCTGCCTCAGCCTCCCAAGTAGCTGGGACTACAGGTGCCCACCACCACACCCGGCTAATTTTTGGATTTTTAGTAGAGATGGTTTTTCACCATGTTGGCCAGGCTGGTCTCAAACTCCTGACCTCAAGTGATCCACCTGCCTCGGCCTGCCAAAGTGCTGGGATTACAGATGTGAGCCACTGTGCCTGGCCTATAACTATTTAACCAGTAAACATTATGTAACAACTGCTTTAAACAGAGCAGAGGATATGAGCAAATAAAAGACTTTATTCCTAGACCTGAGTTATATAATGTCTGTAAATAAAATTAAAAATAACTACCCCACATAATTTATCAACAAATTAGAATGTTAAAATCTTAAAGATTATCAAATCCAATATCCTTATTTAGAAATGAAGAAAATTAGGTCCAGAAAAGTTGAGATCACATAGAAAGAGCTGGGACTAGGAGAGAAGGTGCTGAGTTTCACGTTTTGTATTTTTCACCTGTTATTGTAATAGTATAAGATAAACTAAATATATAAATTTCTGAAAAGGTTTTCAATAAGGAAGTATCACAGAGAAAAACTGAACAAGTAAAGAAATTGATTTTATTCAGGCTATTGCAATAGGGAGGTTTTGTCTTGGTCTTATATAAGGCAGGGGTAGATGGGTTACATGTGAGATGATTTACTGGTGGGATCGTGTTGCAATCAGGGGAAGTATCGGTTAGCTGAACAGGAAATGTGTATCTCTGTGTCTAGCTAGTTTCAGGGAAACAGACAGTTCTATCTCAACTAATTATTTATGAGACAAAGAACGGGAGATTGGAGGGTCTGTATATGGCCTTTCAGTGGGTTCAGGCAATAGGGGAAAAGTCTGTGTTTGGTCTTTTCAGGGGTGTAATTATAGATGAGTCTTAGGGAAATCACAGGAAAGAAGGGACAGAGAGTTTTATCTTAAGTCATTTAGGAAAGGGTGTTTTGTATGTGTTTGTTTGGGCTTTTGTTTGTTTGTTGTCGATGTTATGGTTTTTTTGCATAAGTCATTTCCCAGGACACAAAAAAGTGGGAGAATTTCAGAAAACAAAAGGTTGGGGAATTTCTTAAGCAAAATTGTTTTTCAGGAGCATTAGGGCTCAGGTAAAGTCGTGTATTGTCAGTAGCAATATAAATGAAGATGAAATTTATTGGGTAGTTGAGGATACTGAATTCCTGCAGGTTGAATGCCAAAATAGAACACTGGGAACAAAGAAGGATGGGTGGGGAAAGACAGAACTAAAGAATACTAAAAGCAGTCTTTATCTCCATTACAATTTTGCAAAAGCCTGGCCTTGGGGGAAAGTGGCATTTCTTTTAAATTCATCCTGCACGATCTATCTCCACAAAGTTGGGAAAAAATGACATTTTTCTAGTCAGTGTCTGCTGAATATACGACCATGTAAACAAAATACAGCTGATTGATATGACACAATTTATAGCCTGTCGTGAAGATGCTTGAGCCAAGACCTAATAGTAACTATAGCCTCACCTCTCTAGGCTCCAGTTTCTCATCTGAAAAATAAGGGAATTGGCTTTCAACCCTTTCTAGGGGCAGAAAAGAGGTGGGGCTAGTGGGCAAAGAAAACCTTTTTACAAATTAAATCTTACCCAGAAATTACAAATTTAAATAGAAAACAGATAAAAGCCAAGTTTCTCCAGATACAGCGAGGGAAGGGGGCAGATTCCTGGCAAAACTCCCATTCCCTTC